AGTTGAAAATCGTTAAGTGTGGGAATTGATATTTTTTTCAAATTAGCAGAATCGTCTTTTCTAGCATATGTAAACGCATTCAATATCTAATTTTTCTTGGCATCACACAAAGATAATATATCTATGCCATATGTATTGGGTTTATTTGGCATAAACATCGTATATCGAAATATTCCCCTAAAGCTTACAAGCATTTCATCAACAGTCATAAACTGATCACAGGCATAATTTGATTGTGCTTATAAGATTAAACATCTCTGAGATAGCGGCAGATTTATCTCCAAGCTAGATTCGTTCTGAATCTACTGTTCTAAAGCAAGCAATTACTACTTTTGTTGAGAAGAAGCCACAATCTACGTTTTAAATAAGTATACATACTTCTGACGTTTCAATTTTTACTTCGAAATCGTTTCCAAAATTTCTTATAATACTATTATCAATACGCTATACAGCACATAAGAAACCAAAACGTTTCAGAATCATAGTGGCGCGAAAAAAATGTTGCGACATCTTAGAGCTGAAGCTAGTACCGAACTTATATCTTCATTATTTGATTTAAAAGCACCAGACAGTAAAAGCTGACCAATGAAGGCTTACATTTTAGCTTTTTTACATGGTTTATAAATTGACAGATTAAGACTCTCTCACTGTAAGACATTGCAAAATCAGTAATTCTTTTATTCGTATGTTCTATTGTAACATCTACCATATAATCGTTAAATATCAAATTCCATGTTTGTACTGGTTTGGTTCGTTTATTTCTGCATGCGTCACTTATCACTGCAAGTTTGCGTGTTCTGATTGTGTTTTCTGCTCAAAGTTTTTTGCTAATTGGGGATATTTTTGACTCTTGTGTTTATGCTTTTTAAAAAAAACTACCCTATGATGAATTTTCCCTAATCATCACTTTCAACCATATCTGATTGTTCTTAAACAATTTCGGTTTTAGCTTGCTCATTTTCTAAAGCCTCCAACACTTAACTCACTCTCACTAGACGAATAATTACTAATATACGCTTTTAAAGCCTTTTGTTAGCTTGTATTTTGTAGGAGGTCTCTTGCGGTTGTCCATTAGTTAAAAAAGTAATAAACTCTGATCTTAATCAACTTTACAATAGATTCCATGAATATTACTTCTGGTTTTGATTACGGCTTTTTTACCCTTACCGACTTACTTGGGTTGATTGCTTTAAAAAGTTTTTCCTGATAATTTTATAGTATGCCCGTTTAAAATCAATTAATCTTTAAAACATATTGTCTGAACATGTTTTACTGCAAAATATTGTTATCCTGTAGATTTGTTGATCCTAAAGCCAGCTTAATATTATTTCAATAGATTTTTCGCATGTTAATTTAATTTACTTGTTATATATAGCAGCAAGACTATCAAAGACAATGAAACATTACATCTTACCTCAGAACCAATAAACCCAAATCTAACTTCTCTATTTCTTTTAGACCCATCAGTATAATAAGTGATTTTAACAATTTTGTTGTGTGTAACTTACTGTATTTAAGCTAAAATATCTGTGGGAATATTTTGTCTATCCATATATCTTCTAAAATAAAAAGGACGGTAGAAGAACCTAGTTTTAACTTCTTAACTGAAATAAAATAAGATTGTACGTTAACTAAAGAAATACGAATAAATAGAGGAATAAGACATGAAGACAGCTTATGTTTATTCTTGTTCAACTTGGTAATGGCAAACTAACAAAGAATATAGAATACAGTTAAGACATATATATTAACACCATAGGTCACGTAAACAATGTTATACTGTTTTCCTTCGTCCACCGCACTCTCTGTTCCCAGTCACCTTCTCTGAGGTCTCTGTCATAGCATTTTCTATGTATGTTTTTGATTTTGTAGCAGGTATTTGTCTCCGTCTTCTTACCGGCCGGTCTCAGTCCAATATTCTTTTCGGCCATCTGTGCTCTGGCATTCTTTGCACATGGCTGTACCACTGCAGTGCTTTGTTTTCCAACTTTTTTGTAATTAAGTATTCTACTTACATTCTATTTTTGGTGGTCTAATCTAATTTGGTGATTTGTAGAGATCTTATAAAGTCCAGTTCAATTGTTATTATTTTATTTTGTATGGATGTTGTCATTGGCCATACTTCCGCTCTATATAGAGTTATATTCATCACTATGCTCTGAAAGATTCTTTTTTTGTTTTCATTGAATAAAGTGTTATTCTATATTACTTGTGCTATTTTTATTTCTATATCTTTCATACAAGTACCGTCTTAGCACCTCTGTTTAGTCTTTGTGTTATGTTTACCCACTTCTCTTTAACGTTTGTTTTTTTTGCTTTTTTAAGTCAATTAAGATTATATGTGTTTTAATACTTTTCTCTTTGTTCTTTTCTATCACCTGTCGCATAATGAATATATATTATCTAAACACAGCAAGCAATATTGGTCCACTTTATTTTTTCTTTCATTACCATGGAAAAACATTCTTGCTTTTGTCACAGTTTTTTTAAAAATGGTGGACATGTATGATAGATTTCCGTCCTCTGGAATCTCCTATGATTCAGTTTTATTGTATAATACTCGTATGAATGATACGATCCTTGCATCTTCATATTTCAGTAGCTCCATTTTTATGTTCACTGGTCCTATTTTTCCTTGGTTTATTACTCCTGAGGTTTTTAATTTTTTTAGTAAATATTCTTACACATCTAAATTATCTGCATTACATTCATCAAATTTTTTATTAGAAAAATTCCCTGCCTGACCACATTCTAAACAACGACTTATTGAGTTTTGACTCGGTAAGTTTAGGGCCCTTTGTACTGTTAGAATTGGTTATATGAATAATTAAAATATTTGGTAATGATTGTAAAGAAGGGGTAGAGTTTTGATGAACTTTCTCTCTAAAACAAACAATTCATGCAAGTAATGTAGTATGTGCGGTATTGTCGTAAAATATAAAGAGAATCAGAATATAAGTTTTTTTGTAATAAATCTTTAATTGCAGTATGGATTAAAATAGTTAAACAACAGTATAATTAAACCAAAGAAAAAAATTATTTTTCTGTTACTCATACCCACCAATGTTCCATAATACTATTCATACTTATTTTCTTACTTGTGATCCCATTGAGTAATGATTGTTCATGGTTACGATGAGTTTCGGAAACAATGGAGCTTAATGTTGCTTCTAATAAGAATAAGTCAAAATAAGTGAATATTCATTGTACATCTTATTTAAATTTTTAATTTGATAATTTTCGTGATCAAATTTTAAGTGACACAAATTGTATTTGTTTGCTTCTCTCATATTATTGGCGGTCTATGCTAAATTCATTATAAAGTTTTAGAGTATATGTTATTTAAATTTTTGATTTGATATTTTCGTGATCAAATTTTAAGTGACACAAATTGTATTTGTTTGCTTCTCTCATATTATTGGTGGTCTATGCTAAATTCATTATAAAGTTTCAGAGTCGTTATCATCGAGAATATAAATATGTAAATAGAGATTTTCAGAGTTAAGGACAAATTTCTATGGTAATAAATAGTTTGATTTAAATACACTGCCCCAAAAAATTTAAATGCTAATATTTTTTATTGTAGGCTGAATAAAAACACAAATACAATTAAATTCAAAAACATTGGTTACTTTAACAAAAAACAACACTTTACAATTTTTTTTTATTTTAGAGTTGCACATTTTTAAAATTAAAATTATAAAATAATTCTAAAATATGGATATTAAACTTGGCAATTTTCTACTCGAGGTTGAACTTCTTATCATTTTTGTGTTATTTGCTCCATGGGGTTAAGGTCAGTACTTCTACGAGGCCAGGCTAATATCCGAATACTAACATCTGTAAAAGTATTACACTGTTACTGTTATACTGTTATACTGTTACACTGTTACACTGTTATACTGTTACACTGTTACTCTAGCTATGTGCGGCCAAGCAATATTTTGTATTAGGAAAAAACTTTTATCACCAAATTTTCTTTCAGATATTCCTTAATGTACCTATTAGCGTTAGGGCTATATTCTGCTAATATAACAAGATCTTTAGCTACTTTCAAAGAAATGCCGTTCCCTCCTATTATACCTTCACCACCAAAGTGTACTCTAGGAGAAAATCAACATTTGGCATTGTGTTTTCCAGGGATTCTTCATGTATTGGCGACCATCAGGTGAATATCTTGCAAAACAAAAATTATCTGCAAACAAAATGTTTTTTTCTATATTTCAAGCGTTTAATATGAACTGCGTCTAATAAACGGCCTGTAACAGGTACATGAGATGATAAATTTTGTTCGCTTAGTTTTCTGCATACGGTAATAGGTGAAACTATGGTATCATAAACATCTGCCAGTCTTCTTATCAAAGATGTAGTAGTAACTATCCGCTCTAAAATCACTTGAAGCCTAAGAAACCGATCTCCCCCGAGGTGTATTCCTTGTGGTCCTCCTTGGCCAGGTCGTCTTATGTAAGAACCAGTTTTTCGAATATCGGATATAGTACTTTGCGGAACGCAAAGCATTTATTTAAGATACCGAATGGAACTATCATCATACAGAGCAACAAATTGGGCTACTTGAAGTGGTCTCATTGTAAATATTTATTTGTTATTAAAAACACACCGAAAAACAACCCATAATACACCAAAAGGGAATACAATTAATTTAACAAGTAATAATTTATAAACATATAAATATTTTTAAATAGAATCTTTAACAAGAATCAAATGACAAGAAAAGACAAACTTTTATAAAAAAAGTGCTACAGTATCTAGGTGGTACTGTAGACTAGCTATAGACTAACTATATTTTCTGTATTTTTAAAACTGAATGATTTTATTATTTATTTATAGCAATTTATACTAACTTATGAAACAGTTATCCTGAATATCGTTGTTTAATTTCGATAGACCCTTATTAGGAATGAAGAAAAAAAAGACAAAGGCATGACACAGAAACAGATCTCGAAAAACGAGTATATTTTGAAATTTTGGATACTATTATTATGCAAATAGATACCCGTTTTTCGAATTTTGAAGATTTGCAAATTTTTGACCTCTTTGACGATTCAAAATTTAAAAGTTACGCCAAAGAATTTCCAAGAAATTTATTAGACAGGTTAATTAAAAATTATCCATCATTCTTTAGTAAAATAAAATTAGAAAATGAAATAAAAGTTTTATATGCTGATCCAAATATTTTCGCAAGATGGGATAAGTTACAAGTTATGTATAATTTTATATACTATAATTCATTACAACAAACTGTTACCGAAATTAATAAATTATTGTCATTAATTCTCTCATTACCACCAACGTCTGCCTCAAATAAACGAGATTTCCCTTGCGTCAAAAGAATCAAAACTTATTGTCGAAATACCATGAAACAAGAGAGAATGTCCAGCTTGTATCAAATGTCAATAGAAAAAAAACTTTTAAAATCTCTCCAAAACTCTAATAAATTTTACGATGACGTTATTACCAGTTTGCTACTTCCAAACAACGTAGACTATAGTTAATTTATAAACATGTTTAGGTCCTAAATTTATGGGAAAAAACAAAAAAAACCAAAAAAACAAGAAAACAAAAATCTCCTATGATGATTGAAGTCTTTATTAGACGGTATACCTATCTGAGGAGACAAAAAATAGCTTGCCGACCTTGTCTCTCAACCGCCACTGCTTTTTACACTTATTTTTATTTTAAATTCTTAAAAGTACCCTCATATCAATATTTTTTATAATATTCTCTAGTCTATAACTTATAAATTATTTTTTCTTTAATCACTATTTCAGTTTATTAATTAAAATCATAATATTCTTGTGCTAATATTTCTTCTCTATTGTGCTACTTATTATTATCTTAATACATATATATATATATATATATATATATATATATATATATATATACGGCTCACAAATTATTTACTGAGATATTTAAAATATAATAAGAAAATTCATACATTTAGATCTGAGATAGCCAATATATTAGCTTCAGTATCAGTTAGATGTTACTAGCGCTCGTATAACTGGGACCTTAGTATAGCTATCTAACTAAAATAAATGCAAAAATTAACTAAATATAAACTGAAAAAAAAACAAAATGTGCAATTTCTTTTTAAAAGATGGACGAACTTTATTAGTAGGTAAATATAAAAGACGTATATAATATGCATAAAATATAAATATTAAGAATAAGAGTAACATATGTCAAATATTTAGATTTACCGGAGCTCTTGTCATTTTTTATAACAAATTAAGTTAGATGAAATGTTTATCAATTATTTAAATTGTATGTTTGTATGTAAATTATGATTATACGCTACCTTTGATGATAAATCCTTTTTTTTTCTCTCCAGTACACTGGGATGTAATTAATACAATATTTATATAAAGAAACTAATAATCAAAATAAAATAATAATAATAAAAATATCTAGTCAGAAATGATAAGAAATAATATAAGTCGTACCTATTGGTAGGGATGGCGGTTTTTGACAAAACACCGGTTTTCGGTTATATTGTTTTTTTTACGGTTTAACCTATCGGTTATAACCGGCAAAAAAACCGGTTTTCGGTATTTTTAATCCAATAGGTTACAAAGTTTCATTTACAATGCACTTTAGTTTGCGATACTTCATTCGTCTCGATAATACTCGTAAATATTATTATTACAAATACATTTTTAACTAAATATTATAATAAAACTTAATTGTTTCTGGCTGATGTGAGTTTGCTCTTTCAGTTTGCTTCTGTATTTATAAAATAACATAAGATTTGAATTATGGTTTTGTTTGGAACAATTACTTGAGAATAGTAATTATGATTGGGATCCAACATAATACCTAACCTAATCCTAATCACCGTAAAAACCGATAAAACCGGTTATTGTGAAGTAAAAACCCATCCCTACCTATTGGTTCCGCATTTTATATACGATGAGCACTTGACTAATATGTAACCATTTCGTTTAATTTAAAGAAACTACGCTAGTACTATTACTAACTATGCTTAGTATGCTTAGTAGCTATGCTTTATGATGTTTATAAACACTTAGAATTTATTTAGTTAATTGTTAGATTTATTTTGAAGTTTTTCTTTGTGTTAAACTAATTATATTAAATTTTAATTATCCATAGTGTAGCAAAAAAGTCCATGCATTGGTTTATTACATCCTGCATAGTACAAAGGACATCAAATTTAATTTTTATTTAAATGTAAAAAAAATATAATTTTAAAACGTTAAATGCAACAAAACCAAGAAAAATACTTGGGTATTGGGTACAAGGGGTGTTTATTAATATTTAAATTACTACGAAACATTTTGAAACAATATTCATTACACTCGAGGGATTTCTCCAACCGTCATTATCAAATATTTACAAAAGTCATTACTTTTAAGTTTCTGTTCTTTCCAATTAAAAAGAAACCCTTTTCTTGAAATTTAAACAGAACAGGGCTAAACTGAAAGATAAAACGTTAAGATATAACACATATTTTAAACAACATTGTGTTATTTGAAAAAAAGGTATGTTGGAAATCGATTGATATGAACCAATATAAAATATAGCCCACATTAATATTAATTAAGTGCTTTTAGAATTTACGATTTTGTTGGATTGGTTCTAATGTAATTTTTCGTTACATAAAATGGAGTAACTACAATATTACAAATAGTACAAATTCTTGAAAAATGTATAAAAGAGACAAAAACAATATTGCCCTCATAAGGAGAACATCAGAATAAGTGCCATATATAAAATAAATATGGTATGAACATAGCCCATTTTAGCAAAAACGGTTTAGTTTATATATTATGACAACATATATTTTATGCTTAACCTAGTTATAGTAAAAGTGATGACACTATGATTCTAAGCAACATACATCGTCTAACACAGGGGTTCCCAAACCCTTGTGTTAAATCCCCCTCCACTTAACATTAAATTGTATGGGCTTGTGAAGAAAACAAAAACAAATAAGTATTACATACAAAACAAAATACCATAATTAAAAAAAAAACAAAAATTATCATTAAAAATAATATAGATTAGGTTGGTTAATGAGATGTATGTGCTTGCATTTTCTTTACTAATATGCCTATTCGTGGCTGAGTTTAAGTAAGTGCACAACGCAAGTGACTAGCACTATCACGTATATTCCGATAATTTGTTTTAATTACCACAAGTGTTGAATATGCTTTTTCGCACAAATAAGTGCCGAAGAAAAACAACTATAAACTAAGAGCTTCGCGTGATACACTGGGATACACTTTAAAATATTTGAATTAAAATGAAGGTTTGTCCATTATATCAAAGTTGTATTTGGCAACATTTGGAGGAATCATGGAGTCTGTGTTGACATGGAATCAGTTAATTGCCATTCTGAAAATACTATCGCCACAAGTGTTTAGGAAGTATTTCTGGAACTCTTTAATTAGGCTCTCCAAATGGTTTTATATTTGGATTTTTAAACTTGATCCTTCACGAATATCCTTGAAGCGTGTTGCTGCTGAGATTGAGTTTACTTTAGGGAAACTCGAATAATTGCTGGGGTTTGCTAATATTTTACTCCTCCAAAGTTTCTCAATATAGATCTTAATCGCATCACGATAAGTAACTATATATGAGTCTCAACCTTGCAGTTTTAGGTTAAGCCTGTTCAACGAGTGAAAGAAGTCTGACAAATAAGCCAGTATTACTTGGGTACAATGTTTTTTGAAGGCCATGCTTAGTTCATTTTGCTTTGTTGATCCAAGAAGGTATTTACTTCATCTCGAAGGTCAAATAATCTTGCCATGTTTCTTTTGAAAACCATGGTACTTCTGTATGAAATAGTAGTGTTTTTTAATAACTCCCTAAATTTTCACAAAGAGTTTTAAACAGTCGAGTATTCAACGCACTGTTTTTTATGTAAATCACTATTTTAATACACAACTTTAGGGCACCATTTAGTTTATTTGAAAAAACTTTTGCTGTCTAGGCTTGTCGATATATAACGCAATGTATCCAGTCACATCAGCATTTTTATCTCTTGATTTACAAATATTGAGCAAGAGTCAAACATTGAAGTCGCGCTATCCGTACATACGCCGATCAGTTTTTGCCAAGAGGGTATATGTTTGTCAAAAAAGTCTAACAATGCTTTCATAACATTAATACCTTTTGTTGTGGTCTCCAACTCTATAGAAAAGAGTATCTCGTGTTTCATTATTTTGTTTTCAATATACTGAACATAAACAATTAACTGAGAACATTGTGCTATGTCTGTACTCTCGTCCAGCTGAATAGCAAAAAATGGAGATTGTTTTACAGCATCAACTACCTGGTTTGGTATGTCTCGGTCATATCGTCAATGCGACAGTTTCACAGTATTGTCAAAAAGAGGTATTTAAGATAACTTTTGCTTACTTTGACGAAGAATTTTATCAGCTGTCTTTAAAAAACACGGTTTAACAAGAGTCTCTCTAATAATATGGCTCTTCTTCTCGTTAGTAATCAGAAATGATAGCTCATATAAAGCTTTAAGCAGTTTTTTAGATGACTGAACCGTAGAACCAGTACTATCCAACTTCATGCGTTTGAAATTTTTAGATTTTGTAGCAAAAAATTGCTTTGGTTTATCCTTAACACATTTATGTTTAGATGACAAATGTATTTCAAAACGATTAGGTCTCATTGCATCATTGCGTAATACTTCATAGCAAATTACTCACTGACGGTGTTCGACATTATCTTTACGCATACAAATAAACCCATATTTGATATAAACATCATTATACTTGCGTTTCTTTGCTGAGCTCATCTTAACTACAATAACTTTCTCACTCAAATTAACGAAATAAATGTCTACGCCGTTGTCTAATGACCAAGCCGCTAAAGCAGCATTTTCTTCCAACTTAGCCTTCAAAGAGGTAGAAAGCCGTACGGATCTTAAAATATAAAACAAAATATCCTCAGCTCATGGGTAGATATGTGGAGTAAAACAAAAACTAAGCTGCATGATGTTCAACCCAACTTATCTTGCGTCAATATTTCCTCTATGTACAGGAAAAAAAATCAGTTATTCACCGACTACGAATAGGTCATACACATCTCCCGCATGGATACCTTATGGCATCAGGAAAACTTCCAGGATGCCACTACTGTAATAGCCTACTTTCCATCAAACACGTGATAGTGGACTGCTGCCAGTATGATTCTTCCAGAAACAAGCACAACCTAAAAGGAAATCTAAAAGCCATTCTAGGTGTTCCAAACGGTTTTGACAGTGTTCTTAAATTTTTAAAAGAAATAAGTTTAATTCAGCTAATATAAACCGTGCATAGTGATAAGCTTTAATGTTTTAATTTTTCACACAAAAACAAAAAAGTTGTAAGTATATAAAATATGTATATTCTTGTAAACTGTACTTATGTCAATGAGCATAAGCTGTCGAGACACGATAATTAAAAAAAAATCCTGTATCCTACATGTACTTACATATGGAGCTAAAACCTGGACATTCACTAAAATAAAGATGGAGAAGATCAAAAA